AGATATCAAGCATTCTGTTGGACAGGATCTTGTTTTATTTCTTTATATGTAGTGAGTTAAAAAAAGTTAAATTTTTCATAAACTATGGAGTTTGGATGAGAGAGAAGTGTTAAGATTTGAGTAGATTGACGGGTTAATTACTTATTTACCTTGTAATTACTGGTGGTTCTAAGGACTCTGTTGGTGACTAAGGGCGTTAGAGCCTTCTCAGCTGTAGCTCCTAAACTCTGGAACCATTGATCTATATTAATGGACTGGACATCACCTATAGCCGCTGTGGCTAGAGATGCGCCGTCACAGGAGCCATTGCTATGCACTGAGTCATGTCAACAAAACGGTAGAGTTTCAATGCGGGATGTGCGTCAATCTGTCACAAAAATATTCACAGCACCCTCATTTCTTATCCGATTTCTATAAAATAGGGCTTAAATTAAAGCTGAGAAAATTGCCGATGTTGTGATATGTAAAAAACATATATTTGCTCAAGTGATAAATCTATAAGCAGTCTGGGAACTTTTCATTATAGGTTTTTGCTAACGCATTTACAGTAGAAGGCCCTTTCCATCACATAAAGACAAATTTGCTGTTCCAACAAATTGTTATATTTTTTATTAATATTGTTATTATGTTAGGATAACATTGTGAAGAGGTAAATATAATGGACAACAGTAAAATCACCTTTACTACTACTAGGCTGAACTGTGTAGATATTACTGGTACTGATGTTCTGTCCAGTCAGCATGTGGTATATCCTGTAGTTTGTGATTATATATCAGAGTAAAAAAACTCCGAAACCTTTATCCTCTACCGTATATTTCATAAGTACGGATCCCGCAGGACATGGGAGATTTTTTTCTTTTGCATTCCCATGCAATAGTATTGCATTACCTCACAATTATAAAGTAGTTTATAACTGTTGTGCCTGCCGGTTTATTAACAAACTCACATGTTCACCATTAGCGAGTTAGCCTACTGCTTTAATTCTGCTTCAGAGTGAATATATCACACAACCACGCATGGAAGTATGTCATGTGCTGATATTTTAACACAGTGCAGCCACGCAACATCAATGTCAATTTCACTAACTTGTGGCGACACATCCAGTTTTGGTAACCGGATATTTCAAAATAAAAGTCTGATTTAATTCAGTTTATACACAAAACAATCTTTTGTGTGGGAATGCAAAACTATTTTACGAGGTAACGCAAAAGTATTGCAAGGTAACGCAATACTATTGCGTGGGAACGCAAAAGAAAAAAAATCTCACCATGTCCCCTCGCAGGCTCCGTACATAAGCTAAGCGGTGGACGCGCCGACAGCTTTTATCTTATGACCAGCTGGAGGAATTTGCCTTTAGTCACTTCAGCGCGAATGAAGAACCATGAAACAAATGCAAAATTAGAATTATATATACAGTATATATA